AAATGTAATATTTTATCAAACAAGTACTCTATTCTAGATAGTTTTTGTTTTGAAAAATATAAATGTTCTACAAGGTTGATGATATTTACAAAGTATTTCCCACATATCCTATCTATTAAATTCACACTGCCCTTTAAATATTGACCCTCTCATTCACTGTTATGAGTTACATAAGCTTTTAAAATTTATTTTTTAATGTGTAGTTAGGATATCTAGAATTCAGCTCACTTTAGTGTTACAGGAGAATTAAACATGATGATGCTTAGGATGCATTTAGCCAGTTCCTGGTGTACCAGTGATCACAGGACAGACAGCAGCTCTTAATTAATACACATGTCTACAAGCATCTCACCTCCAGCAACCAAGACACAAGTGGGAAATTTGGGGAAATGAGTGATTAAGAAAGCTGCAACTGCTTTCCTCTGCTTAGATAGAAATTGGTCTACGTCAGACTCCCTCAAGGGCATGATTCTGTTGTTGACTCTAAGGTTAGACACATTCACTGTGGGTGGAACACGACATATAGCCTAATGTGCAAAAGTCTGAAAATCAGCTAATTTGGACTTTCATCTACTGACCATATCTTTGGTGCAGCTTTGTGGCAAATTTTATGCATGGAGGTATAGATACAGAAGAAAAGCAGGTGATCTGGAATATAGTATTACAGGTAAAAAATAAATAATGTATACTTCACAAACTTTGAAATCTTTGTATTCAAAAATATATGACAACTGTTTTCTACAGAATCTCAGAGTAACATCAATTATTCTGGGAATTGCAAGGCTCATATTTTTTAATATGGCTTCTCCAGTTTCTGTGTCAACATTTCAAAATTCACACACACTTTCAAATAATAAGCATGAATAACTAATACTTTAATTTCTTTTAGCCTTCACAACTATTACTATCAATCCCAGAGGTGAAAATGGTAAGTGTTCATTTATATTTGCCTTTGCCTCATGAGAAACTTTTTCTCCTCTCTATTACCTCATCTTCTAAACATCTTTGACTTGATGTTAAAAAAACAAACAAACAAAAACAATTGCTAAATGTAGCAGATGAGACTGATTGGCATTTTAAATCAATCTTTCCTCCATGTCACTACAGATAAAAACAATTTCCATCTCAAACTTTATTCACAAAAATAGTTGTTTTTCCCCCTCCTATCTTTCCACTATTAGAAATAATTGAACTGGAATGTTCAGCCCTTGAGTTAAAAACAAAACAAAAAGTCATTTGCTAAGAACAAATAAGAATTAAGACACTCGCCGGGCGGTGGTGGCGCACGCCTTTAATCCCAGCACTCGGGAGGCAGAGGCAGGCGGATCTCTGTGAGTTCGAGGCCAGCCTGGGCTACCAAGTGAGTCCCAGGAAAGGCGCAAAACTACAGAGAAACCCTGCCTCGAAAAAAAAACCAAAAAAAAAAAAAAAAAAGAATTAAGACACTCAAAGTAAGTGTTGTATGGCATGCCTGTAACCCTAGCACTTCAGAGATAGAGGCAGAAGGATCAAAAGTTCAAGACTAGGCTGGGCTAAATGAGTGCCTTTGTTAAAATGTGTTTGTGTGTGTGTGTGTGTGTGTGTGTGTGTGTGTGTGTGTGTGTGAGAGAGAGAGAGAGAGAGAGAGAGAGAGAGAGAGAGAGAGAGAGAGAGAGAGAGAGAAGGAGGGAGGGAGGGGAGAGGGGAGAGGGAGAGGGAGAGGGAGAGAGAGGATGTGTGCAAGCTCATGTGTGTGTATGCATGTACATGTGAAGGCGAGAGGAAAACTTTGGGGTCATCCTCAGAAATGCTATACATTTTCTTTAGGATTGGTCTTGCATTGGCCTGGAGCTCACCAATTAAGCTAGACTTCCTGGCCTGTTAGCCTAGGGGAGCCCTTCTTTTTCTGCCCATACAGCACAGTGATTACCAGAACGTATCCAAGCCTAGAATTTTCACATGTGTTACGAGGATCAAACTCAGATTCTTACATTTTCAAGACAAACACTTTTACCAGTGGATTTATTTCCCAAACAAAGGACCTGTCTTAGAGAAATCATGTAAGATTTTTGACTATACCTTTTAAGCCTAATTCTTTTCTCACACATGGAGTCATTCAGAATTTAACTCATTTAGGTCCTACTGTGGAATTAAACACAAAGAATGTGAATCATTTAATATATTGCCTGGTATAGCAATCATCAGTCTACAAGTATGAGCTTTCATTATCAATTCTGTCTGATGAGATTCTCTCTCTCTCTCTCTCTCTCTCTCTCACACACACACACACACACACACACACACACAGAGCATGTCAAATAATGACCATGGTAGCTCAATAAAACTTGTTCTCATTTCTTCTAGTTAATAATACTACTGATCTGGAAGCTTGCTTGGAAGGAAGAAGGGGTATGTCTTAGCATCTGTTTACCTTTATCTTATTATAGAGAACATGATCTCAATCATCTTAACTTTGAACTTCTCTGATTTAAAGAAAAGCCATAATGACTGGAACTGCAGGATAAACTGAGTGATCACGTAATTTGACCCATTACTTCCTAGTCATTTCAACAATTGGTCTCCAGACAGTATGACTTTCATTTGGGCCCACAGAACTTTTTAGTAGTTTTTGTTGTTGTTGTTATTCTAAGGTACTAATCACATTTCCTGGCACCGACAGAGTCCATTTTAGACAAAAGACCCTTGATCCGGATTCTGTGTGTATATCTTTTCAGATGTGGTCAGTGACCTAATATTAAGTCCTCTGTATATGTCACACATCCAGATCTGGGGGTTCCAACTCAGGTCATCAAATGACAATTTGGCCATTTACTCGGCTTTGTATTTTCCCTCAAAGTCACAGTGTAAGGAGTTGGCTACGGTGCAATGTCATATGAATTGAGAAGAACACAGGCTTCAGGCTGCCACACATCAGTCTAGTGGCCCAATCATTTTAATGATCAGTGTACACAAATATGCATGAGTGACTTCCACTCTGTAAGCAACATTTTCTTCACTTGACAATGGAGAATTATTACCCAAATTCAGTTATTGCAATGAGTGTGCCAAACGTCTGACATAGTTATCATATGTAGTAAGAATAGTGAGTATTAGTTTCTGGTCCTTTCTCTCTACATTTGCACCAAAAGGAGACTCATAGATTTGCTCCAGGGCTGACTGTTCTTCCATATCCTCAATGTTATCATCTCAGAATCTGAAGGACCACATGAGGAATGGACCTGAACAAGGACAGAGTTTAACATTTTCATTACTTAAAATCTATTATACAGAAAAAACCATGGCCTTGACTCACTAAATGGTTACTGTGGTTTTCCAATCCCACCATTGTTTTAATTGATGACAGCACACATCTCTTATAAAAGTTCAAAATATTTTGGTTCCAATTACCCATTATAAAGTAATGAGAGACTTGAGAGAGACAAGTAAGAGTCTTGGGCATCTGGATTGACAAGTTCCTTCAGGATTTTCTGAAGTGCACTCTTCTGAAATCCCCCATGTACCCTGCTGTGCGACCATTAGATTTCCATGGACAGTGCCTCCTGACAGAGCTCCATAGTCTCCATCTACAATGCCTCAGATGCTCTGCTCTGTGTTTGTCCTTATATTTTTATGTCTGAGATGATAGTTATACTTGGAGATGTAAAAAGAAAGTAAGTAACAATTCTTTAAAATCACTTCTGTGGACCAAGACTTAGGCTGTGGTCTACTCAGTACATATGAGGCAAACTATCTTTCTGTGCAAATTGAAATGAAAACAATTCCTCCACCAAAATTAATTCTTTATTACAAAAGAACGTTTCATGGGCAAAGATGTCAGAATATTGCTAATAATTTACTTTGTACATGATGGACATTATTCACGATTATTTAGAAACATTGGAAGTGAAGAATTCTAAACTTATGCCCCACTTAACCTTCAAATGGATCCATCTACCCCAAGGGCAACTTCTCTTTTCAGCAGTAGTAAGATTATAAATGAACTTATCAGGGTTGTTATTAATCTGACTTCCATGATGAGTCCTCTTCCTGGTTCCAGTAAGAATGGTAGGTGTTGAGTTGTCACTCAATGGAAAAAAAAATAGCCTATCTGGGCTATTCTGTTCAAAGAGCAGATGAACCTAACTACAGGATTCTCTTAGATGTGCTGCAGATTCAGGTGACGAACACCTCTGCATTCTACACCTACCTCATCCTGTTCTTCAAGAGTGTGGTCCACTTGGCCTTCGTTATAGTCTGTGTGTTTAGAAGAGCAGCTGTGCGTTGTGACGGTCAAAGCTCATAATGGATGATGAAACAGGAGGGTCACGTTGTCGTCATCCTTCTCTGCCCCTCAATATCTTCTGAGGTTCTAGCTGGATGTGCTTGCTGCCTGGACCTCCTCAAGGTCACACATGTGGAATTTTTTATCATTACTATACAAATGTTTTCAAAACAGGGAGGGAACTGATCAACTTCACTCTACAACAAATAGTAGCCCATGGAAGCACCCAGCCATCCTCACCCATCCTCTCTCAGTGCCCCCCCCAAAACAGCCCAGAGCATCACAGCCCCAATGTACACAAACTGCAGCTTCTAGTCACCCCACTTCATGCCCTTGAACCAGATAATGCCCTAAAAGCCTGTACTTCACATGCCCCAAAGAATCTTATTTGAACATGAACTCTGTGCTTTGTTTTGCAAAATACAATAAAAATCAGGTCTACTCTTGATGTGATGTGTGCTTTCATTTGTGGCAGTGGTTCAAGGTTCAAAGTGAAAAGCAACATGACAACCAAGCTATGACATGCAGTGCTTGTTGGTAACAAGGTCCAAAACTATATTCTTAGTCTGTCCCTTAGGTGGTGGCTGGGACAATTTTCTGGAGCCAAGTGCAGAAGCCCAATGACTGTTCTCTCAGGGGAAACTAGGCCTGGGTCATTTGGTTTAAGTCATTCCCATGGAAACAGGAAAAGGTCTAGTAGAATGTGAGCTGTGTGATCAACTCTGTGTCTGTTTCACAGTATCATGCTTCCCAGTCCTCACTGTTCCCAGGAGAGCTGCCAAACTCCAGAGAGGAAAGGTGATGGAGGAGATGAACACATGGGCTGTAGACCTCAGGAATGGGATCCAGAATTCAGTATCTGGGTGAGATCAAATACTGAACTCTCCACACCATAGTTTCCTCCTGTAAAAGAAAGTTAGAATGGTGTGTCCCCCGGAGCTGTGCACATTAGATGGGTTTATAAAGCTGTGTGCTGGCAAGTCCCCAAGAGTCTTGAGACATGTTCCTCACTCTACCTTAGAAATACTGGATATCACACCCACACATCACACAAAAACACCAAAAATGAGGACAGATGAGAGATTTAGCTTCTATCATACACCAGGCAAATTATGATTCTCTAAGAGTACTTTGATCTGAGTACAATTCTAGCCTATAGATTAGAAAATTTGAATTTACTGATTTTCAAGTAACAGTCATAATTTAAAATGAGGTGTCTCTGAATTCAGTGTATGTTTTATAGACACAAATAATTTATCCAATATCGTGTACCTTCCTCGAAGTCACTCTCAACTGAAAAAAAATGAAGCAAATGACTTTTGATACTCACATGTCTATGTTTTCCTTACATACACACAGCAATGGTGACGCACGCTTGTAATGTCACCCGTGAGGAGGTTGAGCACTCTTGGTGCTCACTGGCTGGTCAGCCTAGCCTACTTGGGGAGTTCCAGGCCACTGAGAGTTCCATCTTAATAAACAAGAGGGACAGTGCCCGAGAGTCAACACTTGGGGTTGTCTCTACATGGACTTGCATACATCTGCACATATGTGCAATCATAGACAAAGAGTCTTATTCATGTTCTCTGGTGATATTGAAAAGATATGCCCAATCACCCTTCACAGTGAGTCCACTTCTCTCTGCAGTCCAGCTGTATGTGAACACTCTTAAGAGGCCTGTCAGACTTCAGAGCAATGCTAACCTTCCAAGTATAAAACAAGATCTCACTATGGCATCAATTTATTTTTTCTGAAGATAAACATCTCCTCTGGTTTTGGTCTGCTTACACGTCCTGTTTATAGATCTGTTTACATGTGTCTATTCAAATCCCTTCCCCATTTTCTACTGTGAAGTAATACCTGAAAGCATGGCACCTGTCAGCCCTGCCTGGCACTTCTGTAAGCAGAGATATTAAACGAAATGTTCTACATGTAGCTGGATGAAAGTTCAGTGTGTGTTCCACACCTTTTCCAATGGGCAAAGTTAGAACTTCTACATTTGAATTCAAATGAGATCTAACTTTAATATTGGAAAGGCTCTTTACAATCAGCCCGGGTCTACAAAGCTGGTTCTGTCGGAAAGCAAACAGAGCTGCAAGTTTGGAACAATACATGAATGAGATTCAGATAGGAGACCATGGTAAATGAAGACCACATGAGAACAGGAAGAAGCAAAGTGCTAGAGAGGCCCACAGAAATCCACAAAGATACCCACACAACAGACTGCCGGCAATGGTCGAGAGACAGCCCGAACTGACCTACTCTGGAGATGGGATGGCCAAACACCCTAATTGTTGTGCTAGAAACCTCATCCAACTACTGAGGGATCTGGATGCAGAGATCCATGACTAGGCCCTGGGTGGATCTCTGGGAGTCCAATCAACGAGAATGAGGAGGGTTTATATGAGCGAGAATTGTTGAGACCAAGGTTGGATAAAGCACAGGGACAAATAGCCAAATGAATGGAAACACATGAACTATGAACCAATGGCTGAGGGGTCCACACTGGATCAGGCCCTCCGAATGGGTGAGACAGTTGATTGGCTTGATCTGTTTGGGAGGCATCCAGGCAGTGGGACCAGATCTTGTGCTCATTGCATGAGTTGGCTGTTTGAAACCTGGGGCCTATGCAGGATCACTTGGCTCGGCCTGGGAGGAGGGGACTAGACCTACCTGGACTGAGTCTACCAGGTTGACCTCAGTCTGTGGGGAAGGCTTTGCCCTGGAGGAGATGGGAATGGGGGGGGGGGGGGCGTTGGGGGGAAGGTGAGGGGGACGGGAGGGGGGAGAACAAGGGAATCTGTGACCGATATGTAGAACTGAATTGTATTGCAAAATAAATTAAAATAAATTTAAAAAAAAAAAAAAAAAAAGAGATTCAGAGATCAGATTTAATTTAGGTTAACTCCTTGATGGTCCTGAGTTGATCAGACCTTTTCAGGCCAAGCTCCTGGCCCTGCTTTACAGACATGGAACTATTTATGCAGGAGAGCAGATGTAGAGGCCGAAAACTGACAATCGGCAACAGCTTGGTGAGGCTATGACTAGCCAGGACACAGGCGGTGTGTCCTGTGGTCTCCAGTCTCTAAGCACCCTCCTTCCTGAGTCCACAGGGGCTCTCCGGTCTCAGCAGTGCAGAGAGAGTGCCAGTTGCAGGGGAGGAGGGGCCACTGGAGGTCGATGTTGTGCAGGCTGGTGCTGCTGTGGCTGATGGCTTCGTTTTCTCAGGCATCTATGTTTACCTGCTTGGTCAATGTGGTTGCTTCCTGGAAAATGCTCAAAGTCAAACCCACCCTTACTGATTGGGGCAACACAAAGGGTAGCTAGGGTGTTAGAAGAGAAAATAAGGGCAGTTAAACCACAGCCAGCTCTGCTCGGTTTCAAAAGGCCATGGCTAGTGGTGGGGGGAAAAAATCTAGTTTCATTGTGTGGGAGGTGGCTGTCAAGCTCAAGAGCTACAGTAAGGGCGGCAGGACTCCCTGGGGTGCACACTCAGTGCTCCCTGCTTCAGTTGGAATCTGATGCCCAGGACTATACGATAGGTCTCTGATCATTCCCTCGGACGCTCTAAGAAACACAGAAGGTTCTCTGTAGCACCAACATCACCTAAGCTTCTTGGGGGGTGGGGGGTGGGGAGTGGGTCTGAGGCCCTTCATTTACAGCTGCTGACACTTTACTCTTTTTCAATCAGAATGCAGAGGGTGCAAGATGTGCATTCTGATTCCAGTGGACAAAGACGTGGGCCACAGGAATGTGACTTATGAACAAAGAAATGGACGTCAACTCAATGCTACTGAAACAGTCATCTTTCCAAGATGCGTGTGTGCGCATATGTATGCGTGTGTGTGTGTGTGTGAGAGAGAGAGAGAGAGACAGGGAAAGAGAGAGAGAGAGAGAGAGAGAGAGAGAGAGAGAGAGAGAGAGAGAGAGAGAGAGAGATCAGAGGCATCGCAGCAAGGCTAACTGTAGGATAGCAGTATGCAGGAATGAGAAGCCAGAGAACAAACAGGCTGAGTGCAGAGTTGACACCCAAGCCCCAGGGCTCATCTGTCCTGTCCCAGAGGAAGCATGACTACAGCTGAGATACCCTCTCCAGGATCTCAGTGTCTGATCTGTTTCACAATCACATACATACACTGTCCACCGGTGTCTGTGATCGGTCAACTTCTTCACATGGCTGCACTGTTCCCAAGAGAGGACTGGCCACATCTACTGGCTCAGGCCAGCACTCTAGCAGTGTTCTCAGCACTGACGTGTGACTAGAAGTATATACTGCTCCACTCCTGACACACGAAATTGCCACCGAGTTTGTTTCATCAAGTTCCTGAGGTCCTGTCCCAAGAGCACACCCGGAGAGTTCCCTCTACTCTGAGTGGCCCTTCTTGGTTGCACCCCAGCCTCCTTCCTTGTGGTACCGCCGAGGTGGGCATACTCTCAGAACAGTGCAGATCCGGGACTGATCTGCACTGAATCTTTTTCCACGCAAGCTTGCAGCATCACGGCTGCACTGCACGTAGTTAACTTTCCTAGAGCGACAGTCAATGATGGAGACTCAGTCTGTCCCTCTGGGAAGCTGAAAGTAAATTTGGAAAAACAGTTGATGATGTAAATTAATTCATATTAATCCAAGCTAAGTAAACACCCAAGAAAAGTGGCAGCAAAGGCATCCACGCCCTTTGCAGGAGCCGTGGAGGTAAGCTATGAGACCCCTATCTCAGAACAAGATATTCCAGTAGAACCACACAAATCGCAGGACAATGGTTTCTATGTCCCTCCTCCTTCTGTAACCCCACCACTCCTGGCCAAATACATAACATATATAAAGCAAACAGTCAATTTGATATGTTGGATTTATTATTTTAAAATTGTATAAAGAGCACATGTGCATGAGTTTAAAAACACAAGTGAAATGTAAGGAGTTAAAAAAGAAATACAAAAGAAATCTGAGACACGAAACAAAAAAAAATACATTCTGTGAATTGAAATAAAAATGTATCTCACTTACTACAAAATTGTTATTTCAATATATTAAGCAGTCTTTTGATTCAGATGCAGCACAAAACTGAGTTATTCATTTATCAGGTCAGACCGAGACTCACAGAAGAGAGGAAGGACCACAGCACGACCCAATGGCCGCAGGCAGGGATGATGTAAGTGGAGGTGGAGCAATGTCCATGAGGTATCGCCATAAATAAATTCCTTAGCTCATCAACACCCAGCAGTGAGCAGATCCACCATTTCCTGTCGGGGAAACCCGTCTCCACCTGTTTTCCTAGGATGACTTGCAGTGAGGGTTCTTCACACTTAGACAAAGAGTGGAGACAAATATTGAGTAGTGGTTGGACCCCAGTGCTATGCTGTCTACCAGTTTCCCAAGTCTGTACTGCAGGTGACAGAGACTCATAAAGGACAGCATGACAGCAGAGCTTTACTTTAAAGGGTTTCACAAGAAGTCTGACTATTTCATGTTGACAGTTCTGACTCTTGTGTCCAGCTGCTGTGGCGTGCTGTGTGCTAACACTGACGGGGACACAGGGTTCGTCTGCTCTTGTATGGCCTGAGCAAGCAACCTCTGTGCCTGCCCTTGTTTCCAGAACCACAGTCTGACTGCCTCTTCCCTGGTGGCTATGGCTAGAAGTGCTGCTGCCCTTTGCCTCCTGCTTACTGTCCTTGCATGGAGGATGTTGAAATGACTTCCGTGTCATTTGAAGACACTCACCAATGTCCATGCTGAGTTCACAGCTTTCCTATCAGAAGCACTAACACCCTTAAGATGCATTCCTGTAGGAAACCGCAGAAGTCTCTGGGGTACAACTAGGTGGACCTGAGATCAGGTCATGCTGTGCTACCCCAGACAAGCTCCTCACCTACCCTCTCCATCCCAAGTGTGACATGGAGGTAACAGCAATCCCGTACCTCACAGGATCACTGACCTCAAAACATGACAAGGTAACAATTGTTTGAAGCAAGCCAACACTCAGCATTGACATTCTGGCTAAGATAATGCTCATTTTCTTAGAAACGTGGGTCTCTGGGGATCTTTCAAACTATGTATTCCCAGCCCATACAGTGTGAAGGCCTCGCCCTGAGTAAGGTGCAGTTATTACATATACACAAGCAGAACAAGCCTGACCCTGCTTGGCTGCACACTCCGAGACACTTCCTTCAAATCTACCCAAAGGAAATATCCACATTTAAACACTTTGCTGGTACAATTTCACTTAAGTACACTTACTTCATAGAGCAGAACTCATAGTTCTAAAAGCGGTTTCTCGCTGTCCTGTTTTTCCTCAGCTTCTTCTTCAGAACCTAGGAGGTGGGAAAGAAAAGGAAAAACAAGGTCTCATTATATTAATATTACAAACTTCTTCACTGTAATGTAGACATAAATTCATAAAAGTCTATGTAAAAGATACATGTTTAATCTTCAAGAGACTGAAATTAATAAACTGCCATTTTAAAGTTTGACCTTCGGTTCTATAGGAGGAAACTTCAAACACCACTTATACCTATAGCTTGATGAAATGGATTCACTTATGTACTAGTCAAAGGAACTCACATACCATGAATTATCAGCTGTTGGTTTTCATCTGCCTCTTTGTTAAGACTTGTCAGTTTTAAACTTTATTTTGTATGTATAGGTGTTTTGTCTGCATATATGGCTGTGCAGCACATGCATGCCTAAACATGGGTGGTGGAGCTCCTAGAACTGAAGCTGCAGACAGTTGTGAGCTGCTCTGTGGGTGCTGGGAATTGAATCCAGGTACTTTGGAATGGCAGCCAGTGAGGAATCTCTCTAGCCCCACTGTGAATACATTCTTAAGTGTAAATTATACTTAATTTAGGTGTATTTAAAAACCACTGCACAGGCTGAACTGGGCACAGTGATGGCTCCAAACGCTGAAGGAAGGTGCTGCCAAGTGGTCACATGCCCAGGGACCACCAACTAGCTCTTCTGCACAGATGGTTTTCAGCCTTAGGTTTTTCTACAATTGAACAAGCCATCTAGCTCTAAAATTCCTTTCTTTGGATCAATACTAAATAAAAATACTATTTGTCATCAAGACTTTTTCTCTAAAGATCAGAAATCAGAGCTACTTGTCTGAGTTATATTTCTGTGAAATAACTTGCACTCATTTAAAACTAATTTATATGTAACATATAACAACATGAAAATTATTATAAAAGCAAATTCATAACAAATAGTTAAATAAGTTTGCACACTCTAAACTTGAATATGTCAAAATTAAAAAGTCAAATGTATATATACAAAGGAGAAACACATATTTTTGAATATTTCAAAATGTCCACAGTCAAATGATAGTAACTAGTGTTTAATTCATAACTCCACAAACAGAATCTTGCTTTTACTGTAGGAAATACAGGCACAGGGGGGTGAAATCACACACATACAACTAGAAGAAAACACCATGAGCTGTGAATTCTGACACTGCTCTGTAGTTTGATGGACAGGTCAGCTTTGAGTTTTTATGGAAGTGTGTATTATTCTCATAATCAAGGAGGGATTTTAAGAAGGAGAATGAGAAAAGTAAGGCTCAGGTGAGGAGGTGCAGGCAGCCTCGTGGACTGCAGTAACTGTAAGATGATGTGCTCTCGGGGCGTCTTTTGATTCTACTCGATAAAGCAGAGAACAAGCATGGTACAGGGGAAGGCATGGTGGAGAATCTTACGGCTGTGCCTCACATTTTAACCTCGCGAATGTTAACCATTTCGGGTGAATTTGGAGTGACTAGGTAAAGGTAAAATGGTGAGGCTTCACCTCCAGCCCACCAACTGCTTACTGTAGTTGATGGAGCCTCTGGGTGGGCTATTGCGTTTCAATGTGGGGGTCGGGGGAGCACACGCAGAAGGCTGGGCAGAAGGCTGTTCAAACTGCGTTCCTGCTCTCAGGCTCAACTGACAGCTGCCTGGCCAATGGCATGAACGAGGGTTTATGTCTTGGGTCTTCTACATACAGCTCCATTCTGCCACTTGGCAGAGGAGAGGGGCTAGTCCAGGGGCTTGAGCCTGACTTCTGCCTAGTCACTGGATACCACCAAACACGGTGGAGTCCAGAGACTTCTGGGAAGTGAGGCTTCAAAAAGAAATCGAGAATGTAAGAGTCAGAGGCTGGGGACGAGTGCTGTGAAATTCTGTCCACAAGGCATGACCTTTCACACACATGAACACCCAGCAGCTGCTGCTACCCGCACAAGATCAAGCAAGTAAAAATGCTAGTGTGGAAGGAGGAGGGCACCTAAGGGCCCACCCTCGTGAAGGAGCATCTGGCAGTAGGTGGCTTCTGGGGTAGGGAGAGTTGCTTTTTAGGGGGTTGACTGTCCATGCCCGATGGATTACTGTACACCCCAACACCCTGCCCAAATGCGCAGCACCAACTGGACTCAGTGGACTGAAGAGAAAAGAGAAGGTCAAGCTGCGAAGCAGATGTGCTGGAGGCGCTCACAGAGGGAGGGAGTGCGGCTACATCTTAGACACAGGAAGTCTTCAAAGAATAAACACAAGTTTCTTAAAACTTAGACAAGTTTAAAATCAAGTTTTTCAGAAAAGGGAAACAAAACACATACAAGAGAAGTAGCATTATTCCACATAGTGCAATTTCATGGTTAATTTACTAAGCGAACAAAGCTGTCCTTTTGAGAAAGGAAAAAAAATTACAAATTTAGAACTGCAATACTATACAGTCAACAAAATGCAACAGAAATTATAGGGAGTGTTATTTTAAAAACACAACAGGCTAATGTGA